AAAAAGGACATCGACATACATTTAAAAGGTAATAAATTAATGCCTGTGGATCATTCAAAAAACCTAGGTATTATAATGGATGATGACTTAAAATTTGTTGCACACGTGAACTATGTTATTCCTCAGTGCTACGCTATTCTCAGAGTTTTATATGCAAATAAGGCTATATTACATAAATCTGCGGGAAAGCAATTGTGTGAATATTTCGTGTTTTCAAAGATATCGTATTGCTTAGTGGTTTACTATCCCTATTTAGATATTATAACAAGAAATCGTATTCAACGTATTATGAATACATGTTGCAGGCTTGTAAATGATCTCATAAAATATGATCATATATCGAATGCCATTAATGAACTCAAATGGATGAAAATTGATAAAATGTATAAGTACCAGCTCCTAAATCTGACTCATAAGATTCTTTATTCAAAAACACCGTCATATTTAGTAAACAAATTCATACGTAGAAGGAATATGCATCATATTAATATTAGATATAGAGAGACTTTTTCAATTCCACGCCACAGCATGTCTCTATTTCAGAATACATACATTTACAATGCGATCAAATCATATAATTCTTTAGACCGCAGTTTAAAAGAAACCAATCCATTATCCAAATTGAAGAAAAAAGTGAAAAAGGTTCTTCTTGATCAGCAACGAAATCGGTTGTAACCCATAAGTGTCCTCATATTTTCATTATGTATTTACTTGGATTATACTTTATTCTGTCGTTATTGTATACAGGTGCCTATTAATTTTCAACAATTTTTTTTTCATCTCGTATTGTTAAGGAGGTTAGATGGTAGAATAGATATAATAATCTAAATCTCGCCTCCTGTAATAATATTACAAATAAAAGATGACGTTAATTATTATTATTATTAAATGGCGCTAATGCTTAGCGTTTCCCATTTTCATATTTGGAAAATACTTGTTGATAATTTACTATCTCCCTATCATATTCAAAGCGTTGAAGCACTACTGCTGCGTGATTTTCCATTGCGTTTAAATTTCTGCCGATGGTTTTTAGAATAACTTGCTGTTAGCTCTTTATTTGATATCAAATTCTCTTTACTAATGAAGCAACTTTTTCCGCAATTCTACTCGAAGTTTCCATAATAATGTATGGACCGAAGAACACCCACACTCAATTATGGAGGCACATCATCAGGAGCAGTTTTCCGAGAATGTATATGCTGGAATAGTTGGAGACTTCCTCATAGGAGCGTTCTTTATTCCAGGACGACTAGGTGCAATATCCTAACATTACTGTCTTGAAAACGCCAATTTTTGCTCGAGATGTACCTTTTATACGAGGGATGTCTTTTAAGTTTAGCATATGGAAATAAAACAACACGGTAGGTAGTTTTAAATCACTTTATTGTTTTTCGAAGTATTCTCCACGAAGATTAATACACATCTGCATGCACTCGCACCAAATTTAGAAGCACTTATTCCACTCGTTTGCTGGCAGATCCAAAACGGCATTTTTGAATGCGTCAACTGCTTCTTCTGGTGACTGGAACCATTGACCACGCAGTCTGTTTTTTCGGGAAAGTAAAGAAATCGTTAGGGCTTAGATCGGTACTATATGGAGGATGGTCCAATAATTCCACGTTTTCTTCCGTTAAATACCAATCCGCAGTAATAGTTCTTTGCTCATTAAGAGGAATTGTTGCAATATGAGCCGCTGTTGACACAAATTTCGCGACCATCTTTTTGGAAACACTTCGAGAACGGATGACTTTTGTTGGCTTTTCTTCACCTTGGAACACCATAACAGCCGACTGTCGCTTATTTTCTGGTTCATAACAGTAAATATACGATTCATCACCACTAACAATGCTGTACACATTTTTTGAGTTTCCGGAATTAAAACGGTCAAGCATTTTTTGAGACCAATTAACCCCGGCTGCTTTCTGCTCATCAGTCAACAGGTGGGGTATCCAACGAGAAACTAATTTTCTTACTCCTAATTCTTCATGTAAAATTTTTTGAATTGAGATCTTTGAGATCTTCAAGGACGCCTCAATCTCGCGATATGTCACATGTCTATCTTCAATGATGAGTTTGCGCATAGAATCGACGTTTTCCTGGATTGCTGCCGTTTTTGGTGCACCAACCCTGGGATCGTCGCTAAGACTCAACCGTCCACGTTTGAATTCTCCATACCAATGGGAAATTGTCGACTGATGTGGCGCTTCGTTGCCGAAAGCAGACAGTAACTCAACAAGGCATTCTTGTTGCGATAATTGCCTCTGAAAGTTGTAATAAATTATGGCGCGAAAATTTTCTCGGTTGAGTTCCATTTTTCTAATGACTTGGTGACACTTAAACATTCACTGTAGTGAAACTTTGAATTTAAGTTTACTAAAGGGTGAGGTTAAAATTCAGTACTGACGTTCGATCCGCGCGGCCTACTATGTTTCAATATGCAAAACTTAAAAGACATCCCTCGTATTAAGAGAAGAAATGTGGTACATGCATGATGGTGCTCCTGCACTAAAATGTGCATCCATGCTAGGGAATTTCTAAATGAAGCGTTTACGAATCGCTGTGTAAGACGTGGAGGAACTCAATCTTGGCCTCCCAGGTTCTCTGATTTAAATAGTTTATACTATTTTTAGTGGGGGCACCTCATGATTTTAGTTTATACAACACCGGTTCAAAATGTTGGCAGAAAATTTTACTTTCTTGCGAAACCATAAGAAATACTCCTGGAATTTTCGAAAGCGTTCGCCAATCCATGAAAAAGAGAGTTGAAGCCTGCATTCTAACAGAAGGAGGACATTTTCAACAATTCTTGTGATAATTAAATTAAATAGTATTAGTTTATATGATCCACATAAATTATCAAAACTCGGAGCAAACTTATTATTTTAGTTTCTATCCAAGTAAATTGATTAAAATAGCCAAAATGGTTTTTATTTTTTACGCGAAAACGGTGCATCGGATGGAAAAAATCAAGAGATCAAATTTGTTGCAAAATAAATGAGAATTTCAAAAATGATTTTTTTGTCGGAAAAGCAATGGTCTACCATATTGTTTTTGAAAAATCTCACGGATACTAGTCGAAATATTACAAAAAAATTTATATCAGAAAATGCCTATCGATGCTTTATACTAAGTGACATATAAATCCGAACACCCAGTTTAAATGGTTTTATTTTAATAAAATTTTGTACTTAATGAAGCATAATAAGTAAATGATAAAAATTTCAAAATGATTGCACTGCTTAAAAGCCCTTTGACCTTTAATAATGTGTGGATGCACCCTGATGTGCTACGCATTCTCCAACGCGCCTAGGCATGCTTCTGATCAGGTGGTCAATGTCGTCCTGTGGTATCTCATTCCAGGCAACCACCAACTCCTCTCGAAGTGCTTCTAGAGTCTGAGGAGGACGTTGCAAATTGAGCAATCTGCTACCCATCATATCCCACACGTGCTCAATTGGGGATAAGTCGGGAGATCTTGGTGGCCATGGTAACAATGTGACATCATTATGTTGGAAGAAGTCTATTGTGACTCTTGCAACATGTGGTCGGGCATTATCTTGTTGGAAAGTTGGATCTGCCAGGGTGTCAAGATAGGGTAAAAGATGGTGTTCTAGAACTTCGTGGATATAACGCTGCGCGTTCATGTTACCTCTGATAAAGATTAAAGGTGACCTGGAACCATAAGCTATAGCACCTCAAACCATAACTCCAACAGTGTGATGAACATGTCTTTCAACAAAAAACTGTGGATTCCTCCTTTCACCACGTCGCCTTCTAACCCTGGCACGACCATCGTGCATGCCTAAACAAAATCGAGACTCGTCACTAAAGACAATACTGTTCCATTCCTGATCCCAGAGTGACCGTTGTCTGCACCACTCAAGGCGATTACGTCGGTGTTCTCGAGTTGAAGGGAGCACCCAGTGTGGCCGGTATGAAAACAAGCCAAAACTTCTCATTCGTCGGTAAAAACTTCGCATGCCAATAGGTCTTCCGTGTTCTGCAAACCATTCATTTGCAATGGACCTGGTAGTGGAGAAACGGTCCCTTAAGGCCAATAGCGATCTTCACGGTCTGTTGTTCTACGGCGGCGTCCAGTGCCCCTTGCTCTTTGCGCACGGTCTTCTCGAAGCCATGCCTGACAACACCTAACCACAGTGTCTAAACTTCTTTGCACTCTAACTGCAATTGCCCGAAAAGAAAGTCCAGCTTCCCGAAGTCCCACTATACGGCCCCTATCAAACTCACTAAGTTGACGAAATTGTACAGGTCTCCGTACTCTAGGCATCGTAACCGATCGTAAAGGATGTCAAGAACCAAAATCCGCCAACGTTGATTCTTTACTGCGGCTGAAATATTCATTTTTAGAGCGTTAGTGAATTAAAAAAAACAGTATAAGAACCGGAATGTCCAACTGATAAGGCTGAAAATTTTTTCACTTGTTATTTACAGTAAGATAAATACATTCACCAACTTTTATTAAAATAAAACCATTTAAACTGGGTGTTCGGATTTATATATCACTTAGTATAGGTGCATGTCAAATTTCCTGAAAATATCTAGAACAGCATTAAAGTTATGACGGAAAAACGATTTTTTTCTTGAAACGTTAAGACCCCGTAGCTCAAAAGTTGAGAGGTTTAGGAGATATGTTCATATAAACTTTTTTTCCTGAGATGAGCTCATGAATCATATCCTGGATCTTTAGTCATCAATTAAATTACTTCAGAGATCAAAGGCTTCTCTCTGATGGCCCAATTTGTGATGCAGTTCTAGGAAAACGTTTTCTAATGTTGGTCATTGTCGATGCGGATCATATGTCTTGACCTCCGGGTCGGCTGAAAAAAATATGTTTCTGTAGCTTGCCCAGGTGGTTTATAGAAAATTTCTTCATTTAATATGGGGCTTCTTACACAATACTCATGTCAAGTCCCATACAATACAATGCAAGAAAAATATTTCAAATACAATAGTACTAAAACTACTTATTTGGACTTAACCTAGTCTGGCTCTGAGGTACAGATATGCAAAAAATCTTTTACTCCAAGGTTAACGTTTTCATCACTCGATACGCCTGGACGGATGAGTCAGCGTTACTCGCCAAAGATCGCCGCGCTGTATCTGCAACGCACGACTTCCGGACCCGTTGCGACCGAAATCCGCGTGACAAGCGGAAATATCGAGTCCGTCACTAGTCAGAATCGCGGTTTGGTTCCAAGTCGACACCAGAACCAGATAACGTATCTCGCTCTCAGCATTCGCCAGATAAGATTAGAAATCCCGCTGCGCAAGCCGATATGATTTCTACATTGTCAGTTGGTCTTGGTGCTGCCACAGCTGCATTCCGGACACTTTTTACGGTCTAACATCACGGCTCGGTTGGAACTCTTCGAGTCAATCGCGTGAGTTTTATGTGAACAGGACAAAGAATCTCGCCAGGTACAATACCTTGATTATCCATGTATCGGTAACGGACGGTCTCTACTATCTTGATCTACCCTCGAAAAGAAAGGGATGCAAAATAACATTCGTCCTAAAAATTTTGGCACAACATTCATTGGCTTTAACAAAAACAAAATAATATCAAGTTGCCTTTGGAAACAAAAGTTTGTTTATTCACTTTACTGTCAGTTGACATTTATTTATTTTGAAGTTTTCCTACAAGTGTAGGGCGCCTTTATAGCCTCCTTGATTTTAATAGTTTCCTAGTGCTCCGTGTCAGAGCTCTATTTTGAGGTTATGTTACAAATATCTAGCATCAAATTGTTCATCCTTTTGATTCATATCATCTGTTACATCAGCCTGAAATTTCCCACAATTCAAAAAGAAAACATAGCCTCACAATAGGAGAGCACTGACGCTGACACAGAACAGTAGAAAGACAGCAATTTCCGACCCTTTCTGATGGAAATAAAAAAACTATTGTAGGATACGAACGAGATGACAATATTAGAAATATAACGATAAAGCGATCGAAGTACCACCCTGTACCATTTTATTTTTACTACAAGGGCAGTACGTGAACAATTCGATATGGGCAACAATGTCAGGCTAATATTAAAGCCACTTACTTGGTGACGGAACGGCAACGAGTTATCCTCCTTTGGCAAGCGATAAGGGCGATACGATCGGATTGTCGGGGCCAATCTCTATTTTTAGATAAATGACTTGAGTACCTCCCTTATTCGACCGACTCATAACATGCACTTCCTTAGGATTGCATTAATTATCCGCAGTGGTACCAATTCATCATTATTTACTTTTGATTTATCATATACTGGTCCGCAGACCCTAAGAACGGGGGCACCCCCTCTGGGACACACAGTCCTGGGACACACAGTCCTCCACTTAGGCAATTTTAAGCACACAGCAGCCTATGTGATCAACATAGTTTTAAGCACACAGCACCCTATGTGATATCCAGGCGTATAGACAGATATGCTGAGCTTAACGATTGTTACTAAAAAGATAGTCCAGGAACCGCGATATCACGTTAGCCAAGGGCCGTTGTGTCAATACCCCAAATCTCCGACGTTACCCCTGAATCAGAGACCCGAGCAAGATGACCATTTTAAGAAACAATCCCTTCACACATACTGCCATGAGATACATTCGGATGCCAGCGATTACCAAGAGAAGATGGTTAAGCGGTCATTCATCAGACCTAGGACGCCACTTCGGCCAAAGGCCACCGTGTCAACATCCCAAGCGCTCCGATGTTTCCCCTGGTAGAAGAAACCGAGCAGTAATTAACATAACCACCTAAACCCAGCATTCGGGTACTGAAAGTCCCATAACAACTCCCAGAGACTGGAGGCGTCACCCCTGTATGAGCCACCTAACTTCCCTATCCTATGGCTTACAAATTTTGTCACGGCTTTTCCAATTATTTGACACAGTGGATTTTTTTATAGCTATACGAGCACATAATATATTTGCTTGAGATGAACCCTGCTCAAGCTCACTAATTATTGTGAACTTTTCGTTTAAAGTGAATGCACGTTTCGCACTTTTCAACATGTTTATAACTCTAATGAATACAGTATAACACTGGTGGCAAGTTCGAATGCCAAACCGCCATAAACGATTGCATCAGCTAAATCTGCTTCGGGGAACTACCAAAATAGCTCGCATATAATGAATTAAAATAGTCTGCTATGAGCGAGGATCTATTTTAAGCGAGTCTATAATATCCGAGGATTTTACATGTAATTATTTATAGGACCTTAAATTGTGTCGATTATATACGGGTTTTCATTATAAGCAAGTTCATTATAAGTGGTTTCCACTGTAAATTGATGTAACTGCAAACACGCGACCACTTTGAATGCCGGGTACTTTTGAGACGTTCCAATCCTTTTTTAACGAGACACCATACCAAAATTGACTAGAGTATCTCTTGCATGACGATATCACATAGGAATATACAGATTTATCTGCGCCATGTCGACGCTATAAAAATTGCAACGTTTTCATTCCATCCTGCGCAGGCAAAAGGTCGTGCAAAACTTAGCGTCTAGACCGGCCTTTAGGCAACGTCAAATAAAAAATTTGACTACATCATCTTGTAGAACGATATAAGTAACGATGACATCATGCAATTTGTTTTGAAATCCGATCTCAAATAAAGTCAGGAAACAACAAAAGTGATTTTGGGATAAATCTGGTATGCAAAACAAATGACAATCTGATAATTTCAAGGCCTAACTAGGAAATTCTGTTTTTTTTTTTAAAAACTAAGGTTTAGCCAGCTCAATGTATGACATAGGGGCCGTTCAAGTATTACGTGAGCACTATGGGGGGCGGTGGGGTCTGTGCTTTGCTTATTTTGGATGACATGGGGGTAGGGGAGTCTAGATGATGATTACATCATCGGTAGTTATTTACTTTTTTACACGAATGGCAACCCTCACATGGTCTTTGCTTGAAAACGAAACGCATTTTCGGGGATTCCCGCAAATAATGCATACGTTTAGTGAACAGCGCGCGGTAATTCCCCTACTCACTTTAGAACCGAGTAGGGGAATTACCGCGCGGTCTTCACTTGTCTAAATTTCCTCTATCAGTGTATTGTTTCATTTGGATACTGTAGCGAGTAGACGTATTGTAAGCATAGTAAAGCAAGTTAACATTTGTGTTACCATTGATTCCATTAGCCAAAGTTTAATGTTTAAATAAGATGTCGTTTCACAAATCCAAGTTACATCAAAAATTGTTTGAAAGTTTTAAAAAATCTCATACAAGTACGAAAGTACAAAATGTACAAAAGTTAGTTAACGAAGTGTGGCGAAATTACAAATTACAAGCAAAATCCGACAAGGAACTAGATATTATTGTATCTAAGGGATTCGAATACGAATTGCAAGCGGCGACTAAGAATAAATCAATCTACTAAATTTTTTTCTAAGGTTGTTGATGAAATCATTTTAGGTACCTATGAGTACTAGGAATATTAGAAATCGCCAAAAAGTTTCTCTTTACTGATTAGAAAATATTATGGCCTATCTCAAAGTATAGAGGTAATATTCATTATATTATAGATTTACTTCTTATGATTGATTCCGTCAATTGGTCACAAAGTACAGGATATATATATATATACAAATATACAGAAAACTAACACCCTGTATTATGTGACCGGAACGAATTGCTCGTTTAAACATATTAGATTTAAAGCCATAGGGTTTTGTATTTACCTTATATATTGCCATACTTTGTATTTATGTAGCTTAATAAGAGAATCTTTAGCAGAAGCCAGAGAAAGTTTTTATTTGTAGGCAATCTGTAAACGAGCCGAAAAAACACAAATTATACAGTCTGCTTCAAATATTAAAAAAGAGGAAGAAGATAGAATAAAACACGGTAATGAATCACAACAGCAATGCGAAATAATGAAAATACAGATAAACAGAGAGCAAAACTTTCTCAGGGAGCTATGAAAAATAAGATTGCTCTACTCGAAAAAAATCTGATTGCTTTGTATTCTGCCAGAGATACTTTGCAAAGCCGTGCTGAAGATGATAAACAGATCATCAAGTTGCGCGAGGAAATAAAAACAGCAAAACAGTCTTTAAACAGGAAGATTCAAAACGCAGTTGCCCAGAAGAAACACAGGGATGGTATGAAAAGAAAGTTAGAAGATATTTGTCATGAAAATCCAGAAATAAAAAAAATACTATCTCTGAGGGATTCAGTGAGACGTCCTAATCTTGAAAGCAATCAACATTCACTATTGAAAACAATCGCGGATATAGCTTTATTTGGGAGTGCAGCAGATGATAGAAGGCGAACGGAATCAATTCGCATCGTAAAACCTCTTCATGAACTCACACAAGAATTACGTAAAATAGGATTTGACATTAGTCGCAGTGGGACATATCTTCGTTTGATTTCCAGAAAATCTAATTCTGCAGAGGGACGAAGACATGTATCGACAGTCCCTGTTAAGCTCATTCGGGCTCAAACTGATCACCATAAGAGCTACTTACTTAGCAAGTTCGCTGAAACATCAATCCATTATTTAGAGAACATAGCAGCCACACTTGAACCAGATCAAGTACTTTTCATATCTCAAGATGATAAAGCTCGAGTTCCTATTGGCGTAACTGCGGCAAATAAGCAAGCGCCTCTTCTAATCCACATGGAATATGGAATCAAATTGCCTGATCACGATTGGGTAATCGCTGAGCGTCATAAATTAATACCATCTGTCTATGCTGGTATCAAAATAACTTCCAATATGCTAGGGCAACCGCAAGCAACATACATCGCTTTTCGAAGTGGAAAGCATAGTTCATCTACTGCTAATACTCATGCTCAGGATTTCGAGACGCTTCTCGAACTTGAAGAGTTTCGACCATTAGCTAAAACTGACCATGGACTAGTAAAACCAGTGGTAATCATGACGGTTGATGGAGGGCCAGATGAAAATCCACGTTTTCAAAAAGTCATAGGGTTTGCTATACAACACTTTAAGCGACATGATCTCGATGCATTGTTTTTAGCTACCAATGCTCTTGGAAGAATTGCGTATAACAGAGTAGAGCTCAGAATGGCTCCTCTTCGTCGGGAACTGGCTGGTTTAATATTGCCTCATGACTATTTTGGGTCTCATTTGGATGAACGTGGCGTTACAATTGATGAACATTTAGAAAGACCTAATTTCGAATTTGCAGGAAATGTA